CGCAGACAGAATAAGGTGAAAACGTCTTCATTCAATTCCCTACAGTTATAACAAATTGGCGACGGGGTTTTACCTTAATTCATTGCAGTTATAGCAAGCAAACGACGACAGTTTTTATTCTGTTCAGCGCAACTATATAACATTTTTGACTGTGTTAATTACAACCCAATTACAATGTCTATCTCTCTGGACGATCTCAAATCTATCTTGCAGCAGCAGCAAGTTCAGAATGAAGCAGCTCAACTAAAATTAATCGAAGCTCTCACTCAGAAGCTGTCCATTCAAGTTCCATCAACATCTCATTCTGACAAATATGAAAGCATCTCAAATTCTATCAGTGAGTTCAACTACGACCCAATATCTGGTCTCGTATTTGATGCATGGTTCAATCGTTACGAAGACGTCTTCCGTATTGAATGCTACATGTTTGATGATGCTGCCAAAGTCCGATTGTTACTAAGAAAACTTGGTACTGTTGAGCACAACAGATATGTTAACTTCATTCTGCCCAAGAACCCACGTGAGTTATCATTCGATGAGACAGTCACCGTTTTATCACAAATCTTTGGTGAACAGTCATCCATGTTTAATATTCGGTATCAATGTTTTCAGTTGACAAAAATGCCTTCCGATGATTATGTGACTTACGCTGGCAAAGTGAACAAGGAATGTGAAAGGTTCAAACCACACGAAATGACATCAGATCAGTTCAAGTGTTTGATTTTTATTTGTGGGTTGAAGAACCCAGAAGATACTGACATACGAACTCGACTTCTGTCACTTGTGGAACAAGACCCGAAAATGACTTTACAAATGGTGACAGCAGAATGCCTACGTTTAATCAACTTGAAGCACGATACTGCTATGGTGGAGTGCAAACGACAGTCGTCTGAATTTGGTTCGATTAACACAGTGAAAAGTCCTCCGATCACCGTTAAGCACACAGAACGTCAGTCTCAAAATTCAGCTAAACCTCCTTCAGTGTGCTGGCACTGTGGTTCGTGGCATTTTGTCAAGTTCTGTCCTTTCAAGAAGCATAAATGCCGTAATTGTCACCGTTTTGGACATAAGGAGGGTTACTGTACACCGCAGAAAAATTCTTCGGTGAGGAACAGAAGTAGTCGTTTCAAGCCGAAACAATCTCCTCGAGTACAGACCGTTTTCACTACTTCCAAAGTCGAGTTCGCCAGCAAACGTAAGTACATAACACTAGATATTAACGGCAAACGTATTCGTCTTCAGTTGGATACGGCATCAGATATCACCGTAATTTCCCGAACTACGTGGCGCAAACTTGGTTGCCCACAGATTCTGCCGACCGAGCATGTCGCCAAGAATGTCTCTGGAGATATACTGAAACTCGTGGGTGAGATAAATTGCCAGGTTCAGTTTGGTGAGCATCACTTCAATGGTGTATGTTACGTTACAAACTACCATGATTTGGATTTGCTTGGTCTTGACTGGTTAGACAAGCTCCATATCTTTAATGTACCATTAAATTCAGTATGCTCTAATGTTTCGTCTTCACCACACAACGTTGTTCCCGGAGATGTATCTGATCAATCTCTCTTGCAACGCCGTCGTCAAAAGCACGCTTCTGTCTTCCAGGACAAACTTGGTTGCTGCAAACTGTTTGGCATCCAGCATATTCGTAGCCCCCCGTATCATCCCCAATCGAATGGACAGACTGAACGTTTCGTCGACACCCTTAAGCGTGCTTATGCAAAAGCGAAGGGGGAGGGAACAACAGAAGAAATTTTGGATAAATTCTTGCTGCATTATCGTACGAATGAAAAAGGACAGTTATGTGTCAGACACACAGATCACGCTCTATCCAGTACCACGCAAAGGTCAACTCGACAAAGAAGAGCTCCGAAACCTTTTCAAATAGATCCAAAAAGCAAGTCCTACACTCTTTACGGGGGGAGGTGATAGGATCCCACATATTTTGGTATTGACTGTTTAATTTTGTATATATGGTATATTATCATTCTCACACATTTTGGTAGTGACTGCTAATTTTGTATATATGGTATATTATCATTCTCACACATTTTGGTAGTGACTGCTAATTTGTATATATGGTATATTATCATTCTCACACATTTTGGTAGTGACTGCTAATTTTGTATATATGGTATATTATCATTCCCACACATTTTGTTACTGACTGTCAACCTCGCACATATGGTATATTATCATCTCTCACGCACTTTGTTATTGGCTATTAAGATAAATTATTTCAAATGCTGTTAGCTGTCCATATTGTTGTAAAATGTATAAATACCATGGCTTTATTTCTCGTTGTTGCACTTCAATACACAGTCACAGTCCAGCCTTTGTCTTTTGATATTTGCGTGCTCTACTAAATCGGAAGGTACGACGAGCAGATAGGCAGATTAGTTCAGGCGCAGACAGAATAAGGTTAAAACGTCTTCATTCAATTCCCTACAGTTATAACAATAGGACATCCGTGTTATATGACCACCTTAATGAGGTCTACCCAAACATTGAATTCACCGTGGAATACGAACGCAAACGCGATTTCATTTTTTACTGGACAAAAAATGTAAAAAGAAGAAAAGATGGAACCGTCGAAAGTAAGTCTGCTGAAAAAAGTCCTGGACGGAACAATATCTTTACTACAACAGCTTCTGACCTACACGCTATTGGCAGAGATTAGTAAAGACACTGTACAATATAACCTGGAAGTTATGTTCGCTTAACAAGGTAGAAGAAGAATTAGGTTTTGGCGAAAAATGTCTAAAGGAAAACGTCTATCCAAAAGGATTAGTCCTAAAGTTCGACAAAGAAGCATCAACTAGTTAAAAAGAGTGAAGTTTCCATCAGTATCCCACTCAGACGACAAGCAGCATCACAAAAGATTGACAAGAGGACGAAAGGGGCAATAACGAGATGGTTCCCTGCAGCTAAGTCAATGATGCCTTATAGCACTATATGGTCTGTAAGCCAATCGAAACTGGATAAGTACCTTGCTAAAATTACCTCCAACTGCATTTATAAATCCGCGTGTGCCTTCAGCAGCAAGAACATTGGAAGAACAGAGAGAACGGCTTCTACCCTGTTTTCAAAGTATATTCCAAGAAAATTATGCTTAAAATGGAAACAAATATTTACAAAATGCAATTACCAGACACCCTGTGGATACGGGTCATTTCATCGATATTTCCAAATCCTTTAAGACATTAAACACAAAAAGGACAGCGAATGTTTTTAAAGTTTACTGAAACAATTACAATCAAACGTTTCAGACAAGACTTATGCACGTAGAAAGAGAGTGTAGTCAGTATCTCACTCCCTTGGTAACCGTATCACTTTGAGTACACTGATTAGTCATACACATTGATGAGCTCACCTCACTGAGCGGGTTTTCAATTTGATAAACTATGTAGATGTACAACACTAACAATGTTTATTGGATTTTTCCGCTTTCTGTATTCTCTAACCCTCCTTTTTTCATCGTTTGAAAGCATATAAATTGATGGTGACTTCAACTACAAATCTTAACATACTTACATTCCAGATGCGTTCATCTTATACTGTTTTTTGGACTACGTTTCAAACACTGAAGTATGAAATGTCCTTATTTATAACTATTGCAAATTCAGGTAGTTTGAAGCTGATGTGAACCTGTGAAAAAGAATGATGTCATTTTATACTGCAAATTTGGTACTTCTTTCTCTATCGAAATTAATTAAGGGAACCAAATGTATGAAATTTACTAATTAACTATGTGTTTCATTTTCTGCTGTTAGATAATCTTGTCATCCGACTTACTCTCATACTTTTCTGCCGGCTTTGTCGAATAACGATTCGATCCATTCTACTGTGTTTGAACTATACAAAGAACTGCTTGTCTTTGGTAAGTCTTTGTGGATGGACGATGAATGGCTGGATCTTGTAATTCAAACAATAGATCAGAAGAAAGGGGAAGACAGGATTTCATTTATAATTAATTTATTAATTATTGAACGGGAAATGTTACATAATTGGAAAATTCATAAATATTATATCAATACTAGGCTTCAATTATCTCTTCTTGGTGTTTTTCTTGGGTTTCTGAGGCGTCACTTTGACCTGTAGAGTGAAAAAATATATATTACAGATTATAGGAGCAACAAAAACGTGCCGCATTTTGTCTTTTCAGGCTCTTAGTTAAAGTGTATTTACGTATTGGAATGTTGTTTTAGGGAGGCTTCATACTTTGCACATACTTTATTTATCTGTAGACAGTCATATTTCTAAACTATGTTCAATTTCGGACTCAATGTCCCAGGATCCTACGTCCGAGGAATATATTTAGAACAGCAAGTAGTTGTTCAGTACCATTTAAGTTTGCAATTTGATAACTGGACTTCAAATGAACTGTCGCAATCACACCAGGATGTGGAATAACGAAGCACAATACTGTCATTCAGTTTGCTGCAGTTGTTTAGTGGATGAGTTTTATGCTCTGTTTTCGTTGCAGTAATAATTACCCACTTCAATTCAATTTCGCAAGATATTGTTCTGTACTAGGCTTTATTTAGTTGGTTGTATAAGTGACTAATCAGTTTTGCGTTCGTTCGTTAGTGATTGAAACTGAGGATACATTCGAGATTAGTGTAACATGACGTGGGACAATGAACGAACAAGAGAACTAGTTTGAACGCATTTATTACAAAGTAGTTTAACAGTATAGAAATATTCCTTTATCCATCAACCGTGAAAAAGTGGCTCAGACTCAAAAGGGAACATCACGCTTTAAAAGACGCATCGCGATTGTTTCATCTCCATTGTTCTCAGCTTTACAAAACTATAGTTTGTCAATGCAGTAGATCAACAAATACTTGGTGAAAGCCTGTGAAGTGATATTTAATGTTGATGTTTTGATTTCTGTGATATGCCACTCTAATCTCTCCACATGTCTACACAACATCGAAATATTATTTCTTCAGCTTTATGTCACATTATTGGGAATCTACTGAGTTATTTGGTGCCTATATCGCATATTTCACATATGTAGTTTGTATACAGCCAAAGACATTATACGAATCCGAGTAGTTACGGGAAGTATTTGACGGACACAACTCACCATCAGACGACGAACCAGATTTCCTGTTTGAATTGCATAGTTTGTTAAATTCAGTACATGTTTTCAGAATCCCTTCAACATCCAAATTGCTCATTTCTTTGACAAAATCGTCTGAGAACCAAATAGATGTGGATATCACTTGTACTAGGAAAGAGAAAAAAACACAATTTCATATGTAAACATTTTATAGTTTGATGTGCACAAAATAGTGATAAATACTGATATTTTGAACTCTTTAAGCTCTTTTTCCTAATCTTACTCAGCTTAGTTTTTATTGGTTTGTTCCTTGTGTGTGTTTATCACACACTCAGTCAGCAATATATCATGCACTTACCTTCTTTAGTGGAGCCCAAGTTTTGCTATTGCTTTCAATTAAATGAAACTGGAATTCAGCGATGAATAACTATCAATGCAAAACTGAAGAATGAGTGTTCGACCTGTGCATTTCAGTCCTAAAGTCAATATCACTGTGAGCGAAAGGCAGGATGAATCTGTTAGCGCGTTATTAAACTCCATCTATGTGAAATCATACCAAAATTGCAAAATAATGTTCCAGGCGATTAGCAATATGTAGACTGTCTGTTTGGAAATTTCCAAATTATGCACCAATTATAGATAACTGCAGTCAGCAGCTGCTTAGTAAAAATCCTCATGTGTGAGTATACATGGGAGTTTCATTCTTCAACATTCCCTTCGGATTTAATTTATACTGCATTGAAACAAACACTGTTTGTTTCGAATTTCTAAATTATTACTGTGGCGTTCAATCAGTTTATCATATCTGATATAACTGAATTCTGCAGCATCTTAGAAACATCGATAGATGATGATATCACTGACACTGGGATGATGAGTGAGGTGACGAATCAAGCAGAATGTATTCCTTGAAACAACTATGAAAATTGAGAACCGTATGACCACATGATTAAGGAAAGTGACACCTATTCCTTTAGTGAGGTGACCTTGTGTTCTTATGCTGTCCATCCATTAGAAAAAGATACGTGAAGCCAGTTGTTACTGGAATTCGTGTTAACAGGACTTGTGAAACCACTTGTAGCCTTTCATACACCAATTGCTGTGATCAATTCATGAACAATACTCGTCAGAATGAAGTGTAACCAGACGGGGAAGAATAGTATATGCGCTAGCTAATCAACGTTGATCAAATAACAAATGCTTGTTTTTTAGAATGAGTGCATTTTGGTGAATGTCTGTCGGACCTCGATAGTATCCTCCAATCTCAAAACAAATTCGGTTTTGGTTAACTGGAAATAACATTTGAAGAATTATGGCGAGAACTGTCTTCATTTCAATGATGGTGATTAAATATATGCAACTGAGAAGAATATCAATGTTGAAGAGTAATCAAACTAGCTGATGAGTTTAAGTTAGTTGTATTGGACGAAATAAAAGCGACGATGTCTGTCAAGCCTGACAGTGTATAATTTTGCTGATAGGCTTAAAGCTTTCGATAAGTATGATTACATACCACAACGTTACGGCTCAAGCAATGGATGATCAGTATGAATGGAAAGGTATACAACTTGTGTCTTAGTATTTGTGAGAATTTGTACACTGTTGTGAGTAAATTTCTAATGAGTGTTTTACACAATAATAAGTTACAACATCAGTCAAAATGTTGCCAATACTAAATTCTGTCGTTGTATGCCAACAACCAATATAAATGTATTTCAATTACACTCTGCTTCTTGTGAAATATTAAAATCTAGTTTACTCTATTATTCAGTAACCATCACCAATATAATACAACAGCACGGTCTCGTGACTTTGAGAGAAAACGGTGTAAAAACTCGTTGTGAGGAGAAATCATGTTGCATGTAGATAAGGTGTATCCAAAACACATAATACAACATCACTTACTTGGTTGTTGTGTTGCTGTTTGTGTGGGGAACGCCATTCCGAGCATTCGATCCAAGTCAGTCTGCTGGTTGAAAAAGTCGAGGATCTTTTCATTGCTCAGTTTTGCATTTCTAGACATTGTAAACCAAGATGTTTCAGTCTCCACATCATACTTATCTGTGAAGAGAGTGAAATTTTGTAATAAGTACATAAATTAATAAAGACTCAGCCTAAGATAACGTTTAGAATAACAACAGGAGTTTCACTATTAAGCCAATCATTTCAGAGAACACAACTAAATGAGAAACAGCTGAACTTGTTTATGATGAATCCCTAAATGTTCTCGCATGTATTTTAACTTTGATGGGAGTTTCTTGTAATGGTGTACTCAACGACCATTTATACGTAACATTTCCACTTTTTACGCGTTGTAAATTAAGCATTGCCATAGTCGTGGGGCTGTTTTGTTCACCAGTTCACTTCAAACTGAATCACTGATTGATAGAGTCAGTATTTTACCGATACATAATGAATGTTTTTCTTCTCAGTAGTCACATGACAATATTTGTCAATGAAATTCAACCAGCATTAGTCTGTACAATAATTTTTTGAAGGGGTCTACTGTTTTCTTCAATTTTCGTGTACATTTGATGGTATTATTCTATTAATTCTGAATTTTAGTCAGGATGGTCAGATCATGGTTAACAACAATAATGATACTGCATAGTTTTGGTGCATGTTCAGTCAACTTCTTCTTATCAACGCTTAGCAAGTGAAATTAGAGAGAAAGTCAATCAATTACTTTGAATGCCGTTTAGATGTGCCATAAACTCGTATCACAAGATTTAATATACTGGGTGGTTTACAGAACCGCACAATACTGAAAAATGAAACATTTGTTTTTCTTTTACATAAGTCAACATACCAAGTGGGTTGCTGTTGTTTTGATTCATGACATTTTGGAATAAATCGTTGGTCTTCAACTGGCTATTGACGAAGTCGAGCATTTCTTTGTTTGTTACTTTTTTGTTTCCCAGTTTGACTACCCATGTAGTTTCCACGATCTCATCATCATCTACACAACAAACCAAAGTGTAATACATGTAAGTGAAATTATTCCTGCATTACTGTTATTTTACATTGCTGAAAGAAAACTGAACTGAAATTTCCATTGAAATTGTGCCTAATTCACTTTAGGGTGATGTACATTCACATATTATGAAACTTACCATGTTGATTCATCTCTATCTTGCGAAACCTCTGAGTGAAACCTGATAACCATCTTTCAAAGCAATATATCAGAAAATTGTGAAAGTCAAGGCTGTGAGTCAAATATCGTAGTTTTATTGGAAATATTTATTGTTTCCATCTCTCAGCTGACATAAGACGTTCTTCTACATGTATCACAGTATATCACGCATTAGAATCTCAGTTATACTATTTGTTATTCACCTGAAACCTCTAAAAGCCGTATTTTAAAATTTCTTTAAGTTCCCAGTGGAGTATAGGGATTCAAGCTGGAGGCTTGAAGTTTCTTCAACAGTGTTGATAATTTTTACAGGATGGGATTGCTAGCCTCAAGCCAAACCTTCCCTTTTTTACCAGTCTTATTACTGGCTTAGAGAGGTAAAGGAGTGCGTTGGCCGGGTATCAAACGCCGGACCATCTGTGTGGTCGGCGAGCACTCCACCACTATGCCACCAACGTACACAAAACCCATTAGTTAATATAATAAACATGTATTCATTCTACAGAAGCATCACACTTGTACTGATTTAAGTATAGATAAGCACGTCTCAGTAATTACTTGATAAATAACACTACAGTAAAGTGATCAAGATGCTTACAGTAATCATCCCTGGAATCATCTGGTTGCCCTTGGCTGTACACAACAGTCTTCTTCAAGAGTGGATTGATATCACTATCTGAGGTATTCCTGAATATTCTTCGTTTTGACCGACACCTTTTCCGTAAAGGTAAATTTCGTTTAGCTCTATCAACAGCACTGTCATCATAGTCAGTATCAGGAATTTCATCAGATTTAGCTAGTAATCAAAATGGTAAAAGGTGATATTGAAATAACTAAAGATGATAATTAACATAAAACAAACATTTAAGACAAATAATAATTCGAAGAAACCTAATGACATATCAAAAACCTAGAGATAAATACCATAAAAAATAGAGAAAAGAGGAGGAAATTCACAAAAATTATAACCACGAGCGATATAAACCGGAAACATTAACATAATAATTGAACACAACACGAGTAATTCTGTGTGTGAATTTGCCTGTATGTGAGCGTTTGTTTGTCACTATGCGTGAGTATTGGAGTTGTGAGTGAATCGATTTCATTCGACCAGTGATGTTAATAGTTCAGTAGATGCAGGTAATTGGACATTCGAGTGGAAGACACACGATTCATGAAACCAATCAGACTTACGTCGACACGCATGACATGGAATTTGTGTGTCACTGCATCATTTATCGGTCAAAAATGGTGAGTGAAACATCAGACTTAGTAGTGAAGGTGTGAATCAGTGACTGTGTCTGCGTGTATGTGTGTGTGTGTGTGTGTTGGTGTATCTTGATTTCCAAGAGGTTAAGTGGTTTTACTACGTTTTGTGTGTATGACTTACGTTCAGAAGAGTCGGGAGCTGGCATGTGTCCGTTGCGTCCCTCCGACTGCTTCGACGGATGTCTTCGTCGTCGTCGTCTTCTTCGCTTGCCTGACTTGTCGATGTAATAAGCGTCTTGATCATCGTCTTTTGGTGTGGAGTCGGGAAGTGTTCCAGATTCCGGCTCTGATCCAGCTTCTGTAAACAGGGAATAATAACACCGATTAGCATGAAAATGTGCTCAAGCAGGTTGGTCGACGCCGTCTGTGTAAGTGTTGCACACAGCATCTTCACTGGTACAGAAAGGATGGGGTGCTCACCTTATCTGTGTGTTTGTGTGCGTGCACTCCGCGGGGAGTGGAGATGGATGTCAGAGAGGGCGGATTCTGTGAGATCTATGTCAACTCGCATTGGCTTGTTTTATGTCTAATGTCGACAGTGTACCGCTTGGTTTCATCCACAATGACGATATCTAGCTTAATTATAGTGTTGGTGAGAAGGGACTGGAGACACTTCCCGTGTGGTGTCGTGAGTGAGGAGAGTATGTGGAAGGCGAAGGTGATAATGACCATGGTTGTTGGCTTCTTGCCATTGGGGTTGTGCTTGTTAAAGCGAACGCAATTGTGGTAGTGATGTTGATCGAATTGAGAATTACAAGTTTGGCAAGTGTGGTGCTCGACTGCTTAGCACAAGAGAGAGGGAGAGAGAAACGAAAAAGAAGCTCAGATGGTGTGAACATGTGACTATGTGGAGTTGTGTGATGGGTGTGTAACTGATTTAGTCTATCAATGTGATCAGAAGGGACCTGTGATTGGGAAGTTCGTCTCGAGTGTACCTCCTCAGGTTTCCGTCTTCATGAGTGATTCTGTGTGTGAATTTGCCTGTATGTGAGCGTTTGTTTGTCACTATGCGTGAGTATTGGAGTTGTGAGTGAATCGATTTCATTCGACCAGTGATGTTAATAGTTCAGTAGATGCAGGTAATTGGACATTCGAGTGGAAGACACACGATTCATGAAACCAATCAGACTTACGTCGACACGCATGACATGGAATTTGTGTGTCACTGCATCATTTATCGGTCGAAAATGGTGAGTGAAACATCAGACTTAGTAGTGAAGGTGTGAATCAGTGACTGTGTCTGCGTGTATGTGTGTGTGTGTGTGTGTTGGTGTATCTTGATTTCCAAGAGGTTAAGTGGTTTTACTACGTTTTGTGTGTATGACTTACGTTCAGAAGAGTCGGGAGCTGGCGTGTGTCCGTTGCGTCCCTCCGACTGCTTCGACGGATGTCTTCGTCGTCGTCGTCTTCTTCGCTTGCCTGACTTGTCGATGTAATAAGCGTCTTGATCATCGTCTTTTGGTGTGGAGTCGGGAAGTGTTCCAGATTCCGGCTCTGATCCAGCTTCTGTAAACAGGGAATAATAACACCGATTAGCATGAAAATGTGCTCAAGCAGGTTGGTCGACGCCGTCTGTGTAAGTGTTGCACACAGCATCTTCACTGGTACAGAAAGGATGGGGTGCTCACCTTATCTGTGTGTTTGTGTGCGTGCACTCCGCGGGGAGTGGAGATGGATGTCAGAGAGGGCGGATTCTGTGAGATCTATGTCAACTCGCATTGGCTTGTTTTATGTCTAATGTCGACAGTGTACCGCTTGGTTTCATCCACAATGACGATATCTAGCTTAATTATAGTGTTGGTGAGAAGGGACTGGAGACACTTCCCGTGTGGTGTCGTGAGTGAGGAGAGTATGTGGAAGGCGAAGGTGATAATGACCATGGTTGTTGGCTTCTTGCCATTAGGGTTGTGCTTGTTAAAGCGAACGCAATTGTGGTAGTGATGTTGATCGAATTGAGAATTACAAGTTTGGCAAGTGTGGTGCTCGACTGCTTAGCACAAGAGAGAGGGAGAGAGAAACGAAAAAGAAGCTCAGATGGTGTGAACATGTGACTATGTGGAGTTGTGTGATGGGTGTGTAACTGATTTAGTCTATCAATGTGATCAGAAGGGACCTGTGATTGGGAAGTTCGTCTCGAGTGTACCTCCTCAGGTTTCCGTCTTCATGAGTGATTCTGTGTGTGAATTTGCCTGTATGTGAGCGTTTGTTTGTCACTATGCGTGAGTATTGGAGTTGTGAGTGAATCGATTTCATTCGACCAGTGATGTTAATAGTTCAGTAGATGCAGGTAATTGGACATTCGAGTGGAAGACACACGATTCATGAAACCAATCAGACTTACGTCGACACGCATGACATGGAATTTGTGTGTCACTGCATCATTTATCGGTCGAAAATGGTGAGTGAAACATCAGACTTAGTAGTGAAGGTGTGAATCAGTGACTGTGTCTGCGTGTATGTGTGTGTGTGTGTGTGTTGGTGTATCTTGATTTCCAAGAGGTTAAGTGGTTTTACTACGTTTTGTGTGTATGACTTACGTTCAGAAGAGTCGGGAGCTGGCGTGTGTCCGTTGCGTCCCTCCGACTGCTTCGACGGATGTCTTCGTCGTCGTCGTCTTCTTCGCTTGCCTGACTTGTCGATGTAATAAGCGTCTTGATCATCGTCTTTTGGTGTGGAGTCGGGAAGTGTTCCAGATTCCGGCTCTGATCCAGCTTCTGTAAACAGGGAATAATAACACCGATTAGCATGAAAATGTGCTCAAGCAGGTTGGTCGACGCCGTCTGTGTAAGTGTTGCACACAGCATCTTCACTGGTACAGAAAGGATGGGGTGCTCACCTTATCTGTGTGTTTGTGTGCGTGCACTCCGCGGGGAGTGGAGATGGATGTCAGAGAGGGCGGATTCTGTGAGATCTATGTCAACTCGCATTGGCTTGTTTTATGTCTAATGTCGACAGTGTACCGCTTGGTTTCATCCACAATGACGATATCTAGCTTAATTATAGTGTTGGTGAGAAGGGACTGGAGACACTTCCCGTGTGGTGTCGTGAGTGAGGAGAGTATGTGGAAGGCGAAGGTGATAATGACCATGGTTGTTGGCTTCTTGCCATTAGGGTTGTGCTTGTTAAAGCGAACGCAATTGTGGTAGTGATGTTGATCGAATTGAGATTTATATATGTTTGTGAATATATGTGCTTGATCCTCGTATTTTTGTGTATTTGTGAAAGGTCGGAATTTCAGATTTTTCGAAGTTTTGTAAGCTGGGAATTTTAACTCCTGGTTTCATGTGTGAATTTTTGGCGTGTGCTACGGATCTCTTGTTTTTTTAGATATATAATTGTAATAATTTTCGTTTTCCTCGAATTTGGTTGATTCTTTTTAACCTCTATATTTTACATGCGCTCTCTTATTCATGGCTAGTTTTCATCCACAATAGAGGCAAATCCATATGATGCGTATGAAGAGTTTTTATGTGTATGGGTGATACTGAATAGTCACAAAGTGAAACAGATTTGTTATATACACACCAAATATATATATATATATATGCTACTAATCATATTCCAACTATGAAATTCACAATAACACGCAAAAGCACAAACAATCACACACTGGCTAAAACTGATTCATCCACTCATAGACGAATAGGATCTACTAGGCAGTATAAGAAGCAAATTAACAGACACAGACAGAGTCATATACAAAGTGATTCACACAGATAAGTTTTCAAAACGTCAAAAATATTTGGAAAATATTTTTTATGATACGCCCATGTGAGAATCCAAAATAGAAACAAAAATCTAGCTGGAAGACAAGAATACAGCAAAAAATAACGCCCGTAAAGAAGAAAAGCATTAAATAGCAGCACAGACGAGGAAAACGAAATTAAAAAAGGAACAAAAGCCATAGAAACAAGGAACAAACCGATCTCTAACTAATGCCGAGTTCATCTCAACGGTCTTCGGTGTCTATCAAACATATATCATTTAATGTCTCGCAACAGAGCGAATTCTTCTAATTCGAAAGTCATTGCACAATTTGCAAGACAGAAGGAGGAGGCGAATATGGAGTCCGCCATTCAAGCGAAAACAGTCACAAGTTCATTCAGGAAAACAGCAAGATATACAAGAAAATTTTAAGATCAGTCAGTCAGAAAATGTGTCCTATGATTCACGGAAAATACGCCCACTCAAACAACAACAAATACGCCATCTATCAGTCACTTCGTTCAAATCAGTAAACAACCCACATATCTCATCATCGACGTGTCCACATATTTAAATTACTCTCACGTCTACTCACTAAAATCCACTCACATACTACCCATTCGAATACAACGCAAAAATATTCGATCGCCATAAAAAAAGTTAAAAAGAAATGTACACACATATGAAGGAAGATGAAAAAGAAATATTACAGAAACGAGAACCAAACGAAAAAAAGACACACATAAAAAACAAAATAAAACACTGAGAGAATCCACGAAAAAAGAAATGAAAAAAGAAATAGACATAGAAATGAAAAAAAAAACAAAATAAAAAACTTAAATCACGGTGCCATCATCTGGTCGTCGACAAGCGAATCGACATGACGAGAATGAAGACGACTGACAGTGAGTGGTGGTGTTTGTGTTGGTGATGGTGATGGTGGTGTTGTTGGGATGACGACACTGTGACAGTGTGAATGGAATGAGGCGAATGAGACTTACCGATTGGTGAGTGTTCGCCTGTTCGCCTCCTTGGTCGTCGGTGTCTACCAACCACCCTTCCTTTCTTGTCTGTCACGTCGACGACTTCTTCTTCTTCTCCCGGTGTCGTCGCTCCACCTGCAAGAGAGAAGGAGGAGCACAAGACACAGTCCGTCAGTCACGCGAACACTCAGTCACTCAGTCACTCAGTCAGTCAGTCAGTCACTCAGTCAGTCAGTCAGTCAGCCAATCATTCATTCATTCATTCAGTCAGTCAGTCAGATATGAATTCACTCAGTCAGTCAGGAATTCATGCAGGCTGCGTCTACGCTGATCCACTCACCGACAATACACCCACCAATCATTGTCCAAATACACCATGCATCAATTCACTCAGAATGTGGAAGTAACCCGTCCATCTCGTCTCAGTCGTGTCAATCGAATTCGCCTCCCACCAAATCAACTTCATCGATTGAAACCAAAACCTAACCAACTACTATTCGAAAACACATCACAAATACACACTGACACCGCGACACACAGACACTGAAAATACACACGAACATGCAGACACTCAAAATAACACAGACACAGACACAGACACAGAGACACACACACACACACACACAACAACATCCACATCCACACACAAAACACGCTCATCCACTCTGTCATCATCTGGTCGTCGACAAGCGAATCGACATGACGAGAATGAAGACGACTGACAGTGAGTGGTGGTGTTTGTGTTGGTGATGGTGATGGTGGTGTTGTTGGGATGACGACATTGTGACAGTGTGAATGGAATGAGGCGAATGAGACTTACCGATTGGTGAGTGTTCGCCTGTTCGCCTCCTTGGTCGTCGGTGTCTACCAACCACCCTTCCTTTCTTGTCTGTCACGTCGACGACTTCTTCTTCTTCTCCCGGTGTCGTCGCTCCACCTGCAAGAGAGAAGGAGGAGCACAAGACACAGTCCGTCAGTCACGCGAACACTCAGTCACTCAGTCACTCAGTCAGTCAGTCAGTCAGCCAGCCAGCCAGTCAGCCAATCATTCATTCATTCATTCAGTCAGTCAGTCAGTCAGATATGAATTCACTCAGTCAGTCAGGAATTCATGCAGGCTGCGTCTACGCTGATCCACTCACCGACAATACACCCACCAATCATTGTCCAAATACACCATGCATCAATTCACTCAGAATGTGGAAGTAACCCGTCCATCTCGTCTCAGTCGTGTCAATCGAATTCGCCTCCCACCAAATCAACTTCATCGATTGAAACCAAAACCTAACCAACTACTATTCGAAAACACATCACAAATACACACTGACACCGCGACACACAGACACTGAAAATACACACGAACATGCAGACACTCACAATAACACAGACACAGACACAGAGACAGACACACACACACACACACAACCACATCCACATCCACACACAAAACACGCTCATCCACGCTGTCATCATCTGGTCGTCGACAAGCGAATCGACATGACGAGAATGAAGACGACTGACAGTGAGTGGTGGTGTTTGTGTTGGTGATGGTGATGGTGGTGTTGTTGGGATGACGACATTGTGACAGTGTGAATGGAATGAGGCGAATGAGACTTACCGATTGGTGAGTGTTCGCCTGTTCGCCTCCTTGGTCGTCGGTGTCTACCAACCACCCTTCCTTTCTTGTCTGTCACGTTGACGACTTCTTCTTCTTCTCCCGGTGTCGTCGCTCCACCTGCAAGAGAGAAGGAGGAGCACAAGACACAGTCCGTCAGTCACGCGAACACTCAGTCACTCAGTCACTCAGTCAGTCAGTCACTCAGTCAGCCAGCCAGTCAGCCAATCATTCATTCATTGATTCAGTCAGTCAGTCAGTCAGATATGAATTCACTCAGTCAGTCAGGAATTCATGCAGGCTGCGTCTACGCTGATCCACTCACCGACAATACACCCACCAATCATTGTCCAAATACACCATGCATCAATTCACTCAGAATGTGGAAGTAACCCGTCCATCTCGTCTCAGTCGTGTCAATCGAATTCGCCTCCCACCAAATCAACTTCATCGATTGAAACCAAAACCTAACCAACTACTATTCGAAAACACATCACAAATACACACTGACACCGCGACACACAGACACTGAAAATACACACGAACATGCAGACACTCACAATAACACAGACACAGACACAGAGACAGACACACACACACACACACAACCACATCCACATCCACACACAAAACACGCTCATCCACGCTGTCATCATCTGGTCGTCGACAAGCGAATCGACATGACGAGAATGAAGACGACTGACAGTGAGTGGTGGTGTTTGTGTTGGTGATGGTGATGGTGGTGTTGTTGGGATGACGACATTGTGACAGTGTGAATGGAATGAGGCGAATGAGACTTACCGATTGGTGAGTGTTCGCCTGTTCGCCTCCTTGGTCGTCGGTGTCTACCAACCACCCTTCCTTTCTTGTCTGTCACGTTGACGACTTCTTCTTCTTCTCCCGGTGTCGTCGCTCCACCTGCAAGAGAGAAGGAGGAGCACAAGACACAGTCCGTCAGTCACGCGAACACTCAGTCATTCAGTCACTCAGTCAGTCAGTCACTCAGTCAGCCAGCCAGTCAGCCAATCATTCATTCATTGATTCAGTCAGTCAGTCAGTCAGATATGAATTCACTCAGTCAGTCAGGAATTCATGCAGGCTGCGTCTACGCTGATCCACTCACCGACAATACACCCACCAATCATTGTCCAAATACACCATGCATCAATTCACTCAGAATGTGGAAGTAACCCGTCCATCTCGTCTCAGTCGTGTCAATCGAATTCGCCTCCCACCAAATCAACTTCATCGATTGAAACCAAAACCTAACCAACTACTATTCGAAAACACATCACAAATACACACTGACACCGCGACACACAGACACTGAAAATACACACGAACATGCAGACACTCACAATAACACAGACACAGACACAGAGACAGACACACACACACACACACAACCACATCCACATCCACACACAAAACACGCTCATCCACGCTGTCATCATCTGGTCGTCGACAAGCGAATCGACATGACGAGAATGAAGACGACTGACAGTGAGTGGTGGTGTTTGTGTTGGTGATGGTGATGGTGGTGTTGTTGGGATGACGACATTGTGACAGTGTGAATGGAATGAGGCGAATGAGACTTACCGATTGGTGAGTGTTCGCCTGTTCGCCTCCTTGGTCGTCGGTGTCTACCAACCACCCTTCCTTTCTTGTCTGTCACGTCGACGACTTCTTCTTCTTCTCCCGGTGTCGTCGCTCCACCTGCAAGAGAGAAGGAGGAGCACAAGACACAGTCCGTCAGTCACGCGAACACTCAGTCACTCAGTCACTCAGTCAGTCAGTCAGTCAGCCAGCCAGCCAGTCAGCCAATCATTCATTCATTCATTCAGTCAGTCAGTCAGTCAGATATGAATTCACTCAGTCAGTCAGGAATTCATGCAGGCTGCGTCTACGCTGATCCACTCACCGACAATACACCCACCAATCATTGTCCAAATACACCATGCATCAATTCACTCAGAATGTGGAAGTAACCCGTCCATCTCGTCTCAGTCGTGTCAATCGAATTCGCCTCCCACCAAATCAACTTCATCGATTGAAACCAAAACCTAACCAACTACTATTCGAAAACACATCACAAATACACACTGACACCGCGACACACAGACACTGAAAATACACACGAACATGCAGACACTCACAATAACACAGACACAGACACAGAGACAGACACACACACACACACAACCACATCCACATCCACACACAAAACACGCTCATCCACGCTGTCATCATCTGGTCGTCGACAAGCGAATCGACATGACGAGAATGAAGACGACTGACAGTGAGTGGTGGTGTTTGTGTTGGTGATGGTGATGGTGGTGTTGTTGGGATGACGACATTGTGACAGTGTGAATGGAATGAGGCGAATGAGACTTACCGATTGGTGAGTGTTCGCCTGTTCGCCTCCTTGGTCGTCGGTGTCTACCAACCACCCTTCCTTTCTTGTCTGTCACGTCGACGACTTCTTCTTCTTCTCCCGGTGTCGTCGCTCCACCTGCAAGAGAGAAGGAGGAGCACAAGACACAGTCCGTCAGTCACGCGAACACTCAGTCACTCAGTCAGTCAGTCAGCCAGCCAGCCAGTCAGCCAATCATTCATTCATTCATTCAGTCAGTCAGTCAGTCAGATATGAATTCACTCAGTCAGTCAGGAATTCATGCAGGCTGCGTCTACGCTGATCCACTCACCGACAATACACCCACCAATCATTGTCCAAATACACCATGCATCAATTCACTCAGAATGTGGAAGTAACCCGTCCATCTCGTCTCAGTCGTGTCAATCGAATTCGCCTCCCACCAAATCAACTTCATCGATTGAAACCAAAACCTAACCAACTACTATTCGAAAACACATCACAAATACACACTGACACCGCGACACACAGACACTGAAAATACACACGAACATGCAGACACTCAAAATAACACAGACACAGACACAGAGACAGACACACACACACACACACAACCACATCCACATCCACACACAAAACACGCTCATCCACGCTGTCATCATCTGGTCGTCGACAAGCGAATCGACATGACGAGAATGAAGACGACTGACAGTGAGTGGTGGTGTTTGTGTTGGTGATGGTGATGGTGGTGTTGTTGGGATGACGACATTGTGACAGTGTGAATGGAATGAGGCGAATGAGACTTACCGATTGGTGAGTGTTCGCCTGTTCGCCTCCTTGGTCGTCGGTGTCTACCAACCACCCTTCCTTTCTTGTCTGTCACGTCGACGACTTCTTCTTCTTCTCCCGGTGTCGTCGCTCCACCTGCAAGAGAGAAGGAGGAGCACAAGACACAGTCCGTCAGTCACGCGAACACTCAGTCACTCAGTCACTCAGTCAGTCAGTCAGTCAGCCAATCATTCATTCATTCATTCAGTCAGTCAGTCAGTCAGATATGAATTCACTCAGTCAGTCAGGAATTCATGCAGGCTGCGTCTACGCTGATCCACTCACCGACAATACACCCACCAATCATTGTCCAAATACACCATGCATCAATTCACTCAGAATGTGGAAGTAACCCGTCCATCTCGTCTCAGTCGTGTCAATCGAATTCGCCTCCCACCAAATCAACTTCATCGATTGAAACCAAAACCTAACCAACTACTATTCGAAAACACATCACAAATACACACTGACACCGCGACACACAGACACTGAAAATACACACGAACATGCAGACACTCACAATAACACAGACACAGACACAGACA